ATGACCCTGCAGAAACAACGAGAAGCAGAGCAGAAACTGAGTCAGTTTGTCAAGTTGACACCGGTCACGCCCCCCTCTTCCATGAACCCGTTGTCCAGCGGGGGAGGGGTGGTGGGAGGTGCCCCGACTGGTTGCAACATGCCAATGACCACAGCTGTCCCCCATGCCACAGCTCCATCCGCCCCACCCCCACTACCACTGCCCCAGCAGCAACATCGGCAACAACACCCAATCCAGCAGCAGCAGCAGCAGCAGCAACAACAGCAGGTCAACAGCCAAGCCCCTGCCCCTCAGTATGCAAGCGACGTGGACACTGCGGGCAACACAACAGAGAGTAGTCGTCCAGTCACGCCTGGCTCTGATACATCCTTACCTCCGTTTCCCTTGGTTACGGACGGGTCGTATTCAAGCCCGACGCAGTTGGACAACATCTTGTAAGTGATTGTGTCTCCCCCCTCCCTACCCAGCAATATCAAATATTGCAGCTTCACCTTAACCAAATGCCTCCCCTTTACATGTTTTTTCCCTATGCTCCCCTGAAATACCTCCCTTTGTATTAAGTACATACGTAAGAAATTATTAATAAGCATCATGACTAATAGAAACAAGTATATAAAAACAAAAAAAAGGACACATATCCATCAGAATTTGAAAAAAAAAAAGTACCCAATCATATTAATAATTCTCAAGTCTATCTTGAAAAATTCCTGAAAAAAATAAAATTAAATAAAAAAAAATGATTTTGATAAATATGTATGTAGTGTGGCAGGTTCTTGTAAAAAAAAATTACATACAAATCCATTATATATATATATATATATATATATATATATATATGTATGTGTGTGTGTGTGTGCATGTATGTCCATACAAATATATACCTGTGTGTGTTCATACACATAGATGCATATATGTGTGTATCCATACATGTAAATATGTGTCTTTCTATACACATTTCTGCTTGTGTGTGGATGTGCATACATGCATACATACATATATATATATATATATATATATATATATATAGCATTTATATACACCTGCAAGCACTTACTCATTAAACTGTTTATATATTAATACATTCATATATCTATACACAAATGCAAATCAATTTGCTGATCCCTATTCCCTACACACACAATACTCGTGTACGTTACTTTGAGAGATTCTGAAAATGAACCCCCCCCCCAACAATAAAAGACATTTCTTGCGTTCAGTATCATTTCTGATGTTTGTTTGTGTAAATTTACCTATTTGTGTGTATATATGTAAGCATAATTACCATAATAACCATGGCATTAACTGTGTGTGTATATATCATTTGCAAATATATATATATATATATATATATATATATGAAAATAGGAAAGAAAAAAAGGTTTTCAGTTTTTTTTAATTTTTTCTCATTTCTGACCACTGTTTCAAACACTGGCACATATTCTCAAGCAATATTTCGCCTGCTTTTGCCATTTTTGTATAAACAAAATTTGGAATTGGTTCAGAAGTTTTTTTATGTTTTTTTTTTTAATGGCTGTTGTCTCTTATGAAGAATTCAACTTGATCATCAATTGACAAGGCACCTGAAATTCCTTTTTTTTTATTCCAATATTCAAATGAGAAATTCTGCCAACAAACAGGAGTTTCTTTTTTCTGTTATTGCATATATAAATATTATTTATATATAATGGATACACCTTAAAACATGTTCTCCTCCCCTCTTCTTATCTCAGTGTTGAAAGGATTTTGATGGAGATAAAATGGGGTGGGGGGGTAATATCTACTGTTATATTTACCAGTGTTGATTATCATTTAATTGTTCTGAGTTCAATATTGTACAATGCAGAGACATGTCCAAATGATTCCATCAAAAATAGATCAATTTTCTGTTTTTTGAGTTGAAGTTTGTGAGTGAAGAAATATTTAATGGAAAAAGAAAAACGTGTTTTTTGTAAAGAAAGATCTAATTGAATACACATGAAAAGCATGAAAAGCAAACAATGTTCAGGAGGGAAATAAACGTAAAATTTGTTTAGCAAATTAATCAACCTCCAAAAAGAAGTAAATGAAAGAATTCTTTTTTTTTTTTTTTAACTTTTTTCACTTACTTTGCCAAAAACCCTTTAGTAAAGAAAACAAAGATTTTTTTTTTTTTAATTTGGATCACAAATAAAAAGGAGAATAAATTGAATGACTCACTGTGTAAAAGATGCTGTTTTGGTTTGAACTCATTTCTATTCCAAATACATCTTGGAAACCAATTTCATTCATGTGCTTATAAAATCTGCTGAACCCATTGATCTGTAAAAAGAAAGTAAATAAATAAAAGAAACAATAACCAAGTTGAATTAATGAAGTTATTTTGCATCAGAATGTCAACAATTAACAAAAGAGAAATATCACAAAAATGGGATTTTTTATCACAATGTCTAGCCTCAAAGAGTTTCCATAAAATCTTTGAAGAATCTTTACTCTTGGGTTATTTGGGACTTGAAGGTCACTTTTGAAAATCAGGAATAATAAAAGAAAATTTGAAGTGAAAAAAGCTGATTTTGTATTCAAAGATTTACCAACTTCATCACAATTATCATGGATTTGAAATTTTCAAATTTTAAGAAATTTTATTGGATTTCTTGACATAAGTGATTCAGTTATTTTTTTTCTTTACATTAATTGATCATACAAAGAGAAATTTTAAATTATCATTATAATTATTATTATTATTACCATTATTATTATTACTGTTGTTGTTACCAGTTTTTCTTTTTGGTTGTCAATTTGTATAGTGTTTCATATTCTTTGTTGAATTGGTAACAGTTTGTGATGAAAACTGAAAGTGACACGACACCTACAAAAAAATAGCAAAAAAATTCTGACAACAAAAATATCTCAGTTTTGGTTTTGATTTTGATTTTGATTCCCAATGAAAGTTTATATGGTTTTTTATAAGATCACCAAAAGTTATTCTGGAAAATTCTACAGCTACTTTTTTTTCTTTCAAATAGATAATTTTTTTCATTCAAACTTTGACAAGTTGTATTGCTTGCCCACACATGCAACATGGATAGGAGGGTTAATTGGACATCCAGGTCCTGAGGACACATGTGAGAACATTGGATAAATTGTTATACATATTGTATATGTATAAGGGAGTGATGAAAAATTCTTGCACCTCCTCCCCTAAATTCTGATGTTTGATTAAATTTTTGGAAATGGGATGTGTTTCAGCACACCCTTGTGCTTGTGTGTGTGTGTGTGTATATATATGTATATATTGCTGTGCTAGTGCAAAGTCACAAGTCATCGTGACCGAGGGTTTGAGTGTGCTGGCCTTGTTCAGATTGTTGATCACACTAGATAACACACTCTCTTCCAGAAACTGTAACTAAGGTCTGCGCAGTATAGTTGCAATATAAACCACAGTTGGGATCTGTGGATGCTGAACAAACATGAATGTACCTGAGCAGGTGTTAGCAATAGGGATTGGCTAGCCACCCTAGTAGACAGGTATCCTTGAATACAAGTGGCCAGCTATTATATATATATATATATATATATATATATATATAAATCAGTTATGCTTTTCTTTTTTTTTCTTTTTATCACCTTTTTTTGTTTTATCTCATTTTTTATATATATATAGCACCACATAAATCTTGTTGATGTGCTTGTTCATATAATACGAGCAGGAAATGTATGCAGGTGCATAAGTATAAGTTTGTATTATTTAGAAGTGTGTGAATGTGTGAGAGGAGTTTGTATATGATAAACATTTTTTGCAGGTAGACAGCATCATTAATTTCACATAAATTAACTTTGTATATTATTTATTCTGTTGTCTAGTCTTTGATCTGAAGAATGATAACTTGAATTTTATTCCCTTCCATTATAATAATTACTTCCTAACATACAGAAATCTCTTGGAACTTTTATTTTTATACATACATATACACACATGAACACACACACACACACACATATATATATATATATACATACACATAAGTGTATGATTGGTGTATACGGAATAAATTACAATCACCAACAATTAAACATCATCACTTGATAAGACACCAAATGTGTTGAAACAAAATGGCTATTTTTGTAGTGATTTTATAACATATTTATGTTATAATTTTTAAATAAATAATTATGTATATATATATATATATATATATATATATATATACATACCTATATATATATATCCATGCATACACACACAATAGCAAGAAGTACTGAAAAGTTCTCAGCACAACCCTTTTCCAAAATCTGACCAAACAGAATTTTGGGGGAGGCTGAGAACTTTTATAAATCTTTATATGCAGACACATCTTCTTTATGTACCATGTCCCTTCAGGATGTAGACTGTTATGGGTCTCCACAACCTCCTGTCTCTTGTAGCTCTTAATAAATTTTGTCTTTCTGTTATTTCTCCTAAACACTGTTCTGACGTCCATTTACACAAGCTCACTAATATACATTCTTAAAATATGTACATTCATTTTTTTCTTTTTCTTTTTGATAGTATCTTCTAAATGTTATTTTTTTCTGTTGACAAAAAAAGAAAACAAACTAAAAAGGTTCTTTAATGCCAAATAACAAAAATCTACCTTGAAAAGCTTTGATCCTTTGAAAACAAAACGAGACAGCAAGTGTAGCACATAGGGCGAAAATACATGTCAAAAATTTCAATTCTCTTGTTTTTGTCCTCAGTCTTATATAATATCATTTAAAAGACAGCATTTTAGAATTTAAGCTAAATTCTATCAATGACATTTTCTGATCACTGAGAGAACTGTGAGGGTTTGAACCTGCAACTCAAAAAATAACATTTGTACTGTTATTGAAGATTGCTTATTTTCACAAAAATGATTACATTTTCTCAATCTAAAAATTAGATTTCAATTTTATTTTCAGGAGTTGGAAAAATTTTTTTAAACCTTCCATTAGGACTGTGAGGGGGTCAATTTTTCATGATTAGTCAACTAGTTTATTGAACTACTCTGCCAAAGAGTTTCTGGTTTTACTCATAAATTTTGTTTAGGAGTACAAGCAGTTTTATTTGTTTAGGAGTACAAAAATATCTTGTAGTAATTTTTGGAGTAATTTTTCTTTTTTTCAGATTTTAAGACATGTCTCTTAAATTGGTTTAATTATATAGTAATAAGTAAGAATATAGTTTTCATTAGTTACTTCTCTAAATGTAATTTTCATCTTTTTTTGTCTTTATACTCACACTAAACAACAAGAAACATTTCTTAATACTGGTATTTTAATTCCATATTTCAAGATAAAACTGTTTTTCCATTTTTATTTATCCTATAAAAACTAGAAGTAACACTCATCTAACAAGAAAATTAAGAACTAAATGATAATAAATCTATATTTTAAATTTGACTTTTGAAAACCTCATTGTACTAATGCTGTGACAATG